ATGCAATAAAGTACATTGAATTGAATGTGCGTACAGAATATTAATCAGACTCCGATTCGCTTGAGGAGGTGGTGTCTTCATCATCATCTTCGCCTACATGTATAATTATATTATTATCAATAACAGAATCAATCCTGATATCTCGGTCAAAATGTTCCACAATCAGATTTTTAGTCTTCTCAACCACCTCTTCCAGTCATCTCTTGTGACTTCCCCGCAGGCTTCTTTTAATAGGGTCATCATCTATTTCGTGCTGAATGGCGGGGAAGTATTGTGGCGGGCGGCGTAACCTTTTATTTGAGCCCAGATTAGCTCAATCGCGTTATATTGGCAATGATACGGTGGAATTCTTAGAACGCGATGACCGTACTCCAGAGCCAGTTCATCGATTTCGTATCGCAAATTTGCCGCTTTATTTTCTTTTACTAATTTAATTAGCTCTGGTTTTAGCATATGCATATTTGCGTCAATGCCTTTTGCTTGTAACCAAGCCACCATTTCTTCTTTTTTATTAGCTTGGGTAGGTGGTTTCTGTATTTGAACCGAGGGATAGGAGGCATTAACCACGAATATTACAGAAGGCTCTGGTAGGCTGGGCAAAAGCATGTTCTGGAACCACTCTTTAAATGTAGTGGCATTCATTTCCTCGTGGTAGTCATTTGTGGTTTTTGATTGAACTGCCAGTAACGCGTTCTCCACAAAGCCGTATTTTGCAGAACCTGCATGGCATATTATCAGACGGGCCCCTTACCCATTGGTACTTTCGACGTCGCCGCTTGTGTATCATCCGTCCAAGAACGGGAAGGTTTCTGTTCTTCATTTTTTTTTTTTTGCGTATCGTTCTAATAAAATTTTTCTTTTGTCTGTTGTGTTATACGAAAAACCAATATCTTTTAAGATTTTGGTTAAAGTGGTTTTACCCCCGCTAAACAGTCCAGCTTCTCTTAACAATGCCAAAAGCTTCTTCCTGTTAAGATATTCATTTCTGGAATAGTAACCATATATATGATTTCTGATTGCATCAGCGTCAAAGGTGTCAATATCTGTCACGGGTTTAGTTCTACGTTTCTTCTTCGGAGTACGTAAAATATTATCTTCCGTGCCAGTAGAGCCGAACTTTTCTTTATTAATATTTGTTATCGTTCGTTTGCTAACTCCAAGCGCCTAAGAGACGCGTTCTTGTACTTGTTCGACAGGTAACAGGGGTCCGCCATTTTGCCGCTCCTGCTCAAAGTAATCTTGCAGCTTGATGATTAACTCACGGGCTCCAGTTTTCAATGTCCACGTTTAGGCATTATTATGCACCAAAAGTAAAAAGAACGCAATACAAAACACAATCGAAGTCCGACTTAGCGCCGATGTCAGTTTGAAAAGCAGAAACAGTCCATTAAACGAAAGCCGGGTAATCAAATAAAAACAGATCGAAAACACTTGAAGAACGTGGTCTATGCGCACGAACACAGATAACTATACACTAGTCAGAGACGCACGAAACGACAACAGACAACTGTTTTAGCGTCACAAAATGGCGGTCCATAATGCCATTTGGGGTTACCATTTTCAACCTAAATATAAAAATGCTACTTTCTTTCGCGCGTTCGGTTTGGTCGTAGTTTTATTTTTATATTTAATAAAAGTTATCTTATAGTCCATTATTTTCAAATTCTTAAAAAGAAAAACAAAACGTATTATTTATATTTTTAAAGTATAACTGTATAAGAACAGATTACGATACTGTTATTGCCCAAACTACCACACCAAATATAAAGCGCTGACATAACCTTGTAATAGCGCATTATAGATTTAGAAAAATATTGTTTACCAAGTTATTTGACACTCAGTTTGACACAAAATTCTAACATTCATTGATTATTGATATAAAAATGTTGTTTTAATGCTCATCAATAGTTAAAATGGTAAACAACCAGCAAAAATATTTTTATCGTAACTGCAACGCCATTACAAAGTTACGTCATCAGTTCAATCGCGACGTGTCAGGAACGCATTCTCTGAACGGCCCACGGCCGAACTATAGCACTCTTATAGTTTGTGGTAGTCACTATTACACAGAACACTATTACTTGCCCTATTATTTATTCTGAGACATAGTATTCTGTAGAATTAGAATCCACTAGTTAGTCTGTGGACATAGTTTTCTGTTCAGAGTAAAAGTATTCTGTGGTTATCATAGATTACTGTATATATACTACTGTACGTTAAACATCGATAGTCTATCGATAGTTTAAAAACTTGTAGGATTAGCTTAACATCAATAAAATAACAAATGTTATACGAAACGTAGAATTTTATTTTGATATATATATATATTCGAAATAACAATCAAACAATCAAAAATCAGTATTCATCATTATTATAGTTAGAAACCAATCATTAAAATAACAGCTATTTTGTTTTATAAACAACAATTCATTTAATCTTTTTTCTTTTAACCTATTTCTGCGTTCGGTTAAAATTTGTCCGGCCTTCGAAAATATTCGTTCTGAAGGCACAGAAGATGCTGGAATACAGAGATAGAGCATCGCTAATTCCTTCAATTTATTGTTGGTGTATTTCCAGTATGTTATAGGACACTCTTTTCTGTCAATTACTGGCTTCTCGAGATATTGCCTGACATCTACCAATGAGTTACTCAACGGGGTCGATACGTCCGGAACGTCTAGAAATCCCAACAGGTCATTAGATGTTCCTGAAGACGTGGATGGTGTTGGTTGCGTTTCTTCTACAGCCAAGCGTTCTTTAGTTAAATGGCTAGCATAGGCCTTTTCCAGCCACTGACCAGCTCGCTTCTCGTCGTCACTTGTTTTGAACCCCTTCTTCTTAAATCTGGGGTCCAATATTGTAGCAAGTACAACAGGTGTCCTGCTTTCATAGGGACTTAGTCTTTTGTCAACTGATCCCTTCATGCAGAGTAATATTTTGTTTCCGCTTTCAGTAACAATTTGAAATTCAACTTCTACTAATTTCGTTTTTATTCCACGAATCAATGGTATTATCAGTGACAATGTTATATAGCTTTCTCCGGAAATTTTTGTTGTAGCTAGATCGAAAGGTTCCAGAATTTGAATTGTTTCTTGAATAATTAGGTATTCGTCAGCATTGACTCCTGGTGGAGCCCGATTACATTCATTAAGTGCGAGAGTTAATTCTGTCTTCATTGTAACAATTCTTTGCAGCATGTGGTATGCACTGTTCCAGCGGGTGGGTACTTCCTGGATCACTTTCAGTTCTGGTTTATTTAATTCACGTTGAATAGCCCGTAATTTATCGCTAGCTAGAGTACTCATCTTGAAAAAAGTCACAATCGATTTACATTTTTTCAGAATCTGGTCTAAGCAGGTCACAGCAAACGAATCACTTACCGTCAGGTTTAGTGTGTGCGCAAAGCAGGGTATATGTCGTATATGCAGTTTGGCTGCGGCGTTAATCATTGTTTGAGCGTTATCAGTCGTTATTGCTTCACATTTTGACCTGATATCCCATTTTGAGAGAGTAGCATCCAACATCTGAAAACAATAATAATATTGTTTATGTCTGATTATAAAGAAACACTGAATTGGTAGGTATCAAGGCAATAAAATTTAAAAATACTTACACTGGCTATATTTTCTGCGTTATGACTTCCTTCCATCTTCACAACTTCCAATAATGGTGCAATTAATTTTTCGTTGTGAAAGAAATGACAAGTAACTGAAAGGATGCCTTCATTTGCAATTGATGTCCATAAGTCAGTAGTCACACTAACATGTTCTGCTTTCGATAATGCTATGACGAGCTTCTGTTTCACGTTTTCATAATATTCCGGCAGTAATTTTTTTTTCAATATTGTTGTATCAGGAATTTCATATCTACTATCGAGAGCATTTACAAAATCCCGAAATCCTTCATGTTCTCCTTTTCGCAAAGGTTCCATGTCAACAGCAATCATGCGCACGTATTTGTTATCCAAATTTTGCTTTGTTTTCCCATCTGGATATTTACTACTTCTATCAAAATAATTTTTTAGCGTATTTCTCTTTTTAGGGCTTGGGACCATTTTCTCATTTTGCTCAGTGGTATCTACGTCTTGAGTAACAGAAACAGTGGATGACCACATCCATACCTCATTATGTTTTCTCTTCATATGATCGATCAAGTTCGTAGTATTTCCACTTAGTTTAAACTCTCTTTTACACAAAGAACACTTGGCAAACTTTTCATTAGTCTTTTTGAAGTAATCCCACGCACGTGACTTACTACTCATGTTTTATTGTTTAATTCTAAATTGTTTGTTACTCCACTCAACTTCAAACATCCACAATAAAAAACTGACTGACTGACTTTTGTCTTGTAAATGAATGATATACGCACTGTAATTCCCCAAACATAGAGAAGAATCTCAATGTCTACGCCTTTGAATGTATGATATACGCACGGTAATTCCCCTACCATAGAGAACAATCTCAATGTCTATACCTTTGTCACTATAGCCGGGGAATAACTTACATACATGCATACCTCGACTCTAGGGATGTAAAAGTAGTACCCGAGTAAACAATCGATCGATAGTTTTAAAAACTATCGATAGTATCGATAGCCATTTACTATCGATACCATCGATAGTCTATCGATGTTTAACGTACACTAATATATACTAGAGAGTGGTTATGTTTCTGATTTCTGTTCTGTGGTACTCCTATCCTAGTCCACAAACTATATATTATAAGTTTCCTTATGTATTTACTATAATATAAGAGTATATAAAATTATATACTCTTTACTAATAAGAGTAGTAATCACAGAGTACATTATATATACCTGCTGTCTACGCCTGGAATAGTAATCAGTACTCTGTGATAGTAATCCTAGTCCTACCAGCTCCTAGCTCTTACTCCTCTTGTAGTCCTCTAGTAGAAGCTCTCGGCTAGAGAATACTATATTCTTTGAGTAGAAACATAAAAGTACTCCGTGAGTAGAAGTCCCTAAATCCTTATAATATCAACATGTCTAAGAAAAAAGGTAACAAAAAAGTTCAAGATTTTGATGACGAGTTGGACGAGAAACAAGACCGTAATGACTCGAACGCTATAACCTCTAAAAGTAAAGTTAAAGCAAAAAAGAAAGGGAAAGTTAATGCTGACTTAAGTGATACCGAAGAAGTAGATATTGTTAAAAAAACTATACATTCTGAAAATGAGGACGAAGTAAAACCTACAAAAAAGGCACAAAAAAAGGGTACGTCAAATCGATCTCTAGGCATTAGGTTTTGTTTTTATTTTTTATTAATAATTAGTTATTTGTCTTTTGTAGCTAAAAACAAAAAAAAAGGTGATATTTCTGATGATGACCTAGAGGAAATTCAATCAAATATCAGCACAAATTTAAGCACGGCCCCTAAAACAACAAAACAAACCAAGAAAAAGAAAGGTATGTTCTGCAAATCTGTTTTTCCTTAAAGATATTATTTATAAAAATCTGAAGAGACTTGACTATTAAGACATTTAAGAAAAATCAAGTATATTTATAAAGTTATAAATTAAAATCTACCCCTTTGATGACATGGCATGTTCATATGTCAAATGACACCACATACTTTACAACAGGATTAGTTTTTGTGGCTTACAAAACTTTTTTTTAAGTTAGAATAATAATCAGGTAGCAGAAAAGATAGACTAAACAGTAAAAATAATTTTAGTATTGTTTGTCAGGTAAAGGAAAAAAAGATGATGACTGGTCAGAAGAAGCCAGTGATATTGAGCTTAAGGAAGTGTCAGAAGATGAAGTTGTAAAACCTGTTAGTAAAAAGAAATGTAAGTAGTAAATAGAGTTGACAACTATACTTTTATTTCTCTACAGTTTTACTTTTGTGTAAAGTTCTGGGTCCTAAGCTTTATCTTTCTCTGGTCTTGTTGAATTGTCATCCTATAGACTATCATAGTGAGGGAATAGTGTGTGTTTATGTGCATTAAGTACACATACTCATGCACCATTATCCAGTCCTGTGTAGATGACTAGTCTCCATTGAGACTGGCACTGGTGACTGAAATTCTGCCTGGAGAACATTATTTTTAATATTTAAAAGTCACTAACTATCAATACTATGGATAGATGTCAATGAAATTTTGGTTTTTCAGGATCAGTTATTGATATCAACATTATTGATTATTCAGATTTGCTAGTTGTGGGTCGCAGCCATGTAGTGGCGGCTAAGAATATCCACAACCACATATCTTACCATAGGTGTCGTAAAAGGCGTTGGAGAAGAAATGGGCAGGAGATGGGCAGTAGCATCTTCCTGATAACAGCATCTGTACAACAAAAAAACTGCCAACCCGCTCGCCAAGCTCGCCCCATGAGCAAGGACAGAAATAGATGGCCCCCAGTATCCGGCCACCCCGCTATAGCTAGGTGGCAACTATGATAATGGTGAGGCATTGGTACTAAGAATCTCCAGTGGAAGTTTGTTTGCCACTGAAAATGACTCGACCTGCCGACATACAATAACCGCACCCTGAGGACTGAGGAGAAGATCCTGGAGCTGGAAGAAGAGATAGACAAGTTGCGCTGGTATATTATAGGGTTATCTGAAGAGAGGGGAGGACACATTTATTTTCGAATCCGGCAACTTGTTCTATCACCTGAAGGGCAACCATCTGTATTAAGGAGGTGTCGGATTTATCATCCACAAATCTATCATTATCAATCTTGTAAAGATTTGGAGTGTGTCAATGAGGGTTGCGTACCTTATACTCAGAATCACCAAAAGGTATTCGCTGAAGGTCATACAGGTTTACGCACTAATGTCGGCACATCCCAATGGAGGTGGAGAGAATGTATGAGGATATTTCTAGAGCGATACATTCCTCCAAAACTCACTATATGGTGTTAATGGGAGACGTCAACGCAAAGCTAGGCACAATAAAAAATGGTGAGATGAAGGTAGAGAAATTTGGGATAGAGCAACAGAACCCAAGGGGCCAGCAACTGGCCGACTTTATGGAGAAGGAGGGCTCTTTATGATGAACCCATTCTTCCTGAGTGGCCCCATAGAAAATTAACCTGGATAAGCTCGAATGGTTCCACAAAAAATGAATTGACTTCATTATGACGACTAGACCAGTGACGTCTCAGTGAAAACTTGCAGTAGTCACCGAATGGTTAGAAGCACACTGAACCTAAACGTTAAGTTGAAGAAGTCTCGTCTCATGAAGTCAACACTCCATCCCCCTAGTGCTCTAATTCAAAGTCCCGAAACCTTTCAGCGCGAGTTACAAAACCGCAATTGCAATTGCAATGCAGTGTGCGATATGAATGACAAGCTCGTGGAAACTGTCCATGCTTTCAGAGCTAAGTTCTGCAAGACTCGCCGCAGATGAACACCAAAAATCGTATCTCTCCAATCACCCTCTTAATCTCATGGCTGTTAGACGGGAAATGAAACTGTAGTCAGACAGATCTCCAAATACATGTGGCGGGACTTACGCAACTTTAATACTACTCATAGTGAAGAAAGATCGGGAAGGTCTCCATAGATCTATCTGCCAGAAAGAACCAACTATCAAAGCTGAAGACAGTGTGGCAGCATCATTTCCGGTACACCTGAGATTTTGAGTGAGATTGAGAGGTTCTATGGGCAGCACATCATTGTTGATGGCTCCAACAAATGCAAGTGTAAGTAACGCTCCAAGAGCAAGTCTAATTATCAAGTACATCATACAAGTAATTAAGACACTATTCCGATGATATCACAGACGTCAGTCAGAGCGAGATTAGTATGGCTCTCCAGCACCTTAAAAACGGCAAGTCTCCAGGCGAGGATGGAATTACAGCGGGGCTTCTGAAAGCGGGTGGAAAACTGGTTTTTAAAGTTGTTTAGAAGCTTTTCTGTTCTGTCCTCCATGGTGGCACTACTCTGGAGGCGTGGTGCAAAAGTGTGATGACTGATTTTAAGCTTGTTCTTCAAGAAAGATTACAACACTCTCTTAAAAAACTACAGACCAATTTCCTTTCTGAGCCGCGTCTACGTGTTGTTTTCGAGAGCCATTACAATTCGTGTTGCATGCAGACCGAAAAGGCTTCAGTACCATAGACCACATACATACCCTGAGGCAGATTGTACAGAATACTGAGAAGTAAAATCTGCTACTTTGCCTTGCATATGTGGACTATGAGAAAGTCTTTGATTCCGTCGAAATTTGGGCGGTACTACGGTCCCTTCAGCAGTGCCAAGTTGAGTTTCGGTATATCGAAGTGCTGAAGTGTAAGAAACTCATCCAACTACTGGGAAAGACAGGGTGACGTTATGTTCCCGAAACTCTTCACCACTGCTTTGAAAGACATTTTCAAGCTACTGGACTGAAAAGGATACGGTATTAACATCAATGGCGAGTACATCACTCTCCTTTGATTTGCCGTTGATATAGTCCTTATGGCAGAATCGCTGGAGGACACTATGCTCAATAACCTCAATAGTATCTCCTAATGGATATGTCTTATGATGAACATGGACCAAATGAAGATCATGTTTGATCTCCATGTCATACCTATGCCGGTTGTTATTGGGAGCACTAAGTTCGAAGTTGTTGCAAGTATGTTTACCTGGGACAAATAGTGCGACTAGGTAAGTTCAACCGACCGAGAGGTTAATCGAGCGGATGCGGATTCAACTCGGCTAGGCAGCATTCTCGATCACATCTACTCGTCAGGTATACCTCAAAACTTGAAAACTAGATTGTACAACCAGTGCATGTTGCCAGTGATGACTTACAGATCTGAGATATGATCCTTCAATGCTGGCCGTATGAGGACGTTCAAGGTCGCTCGGCGAGCTATGGAGAGGGCTATGCTCGGATTTTCTCTGCGTGATAAACTTAGAAATGAGGATATCCACAGTAGATCGATGGATGCAAGTGGCTCAGGACCGTGTTTTGTGGCATTTCTTGGGTGAGGTCTATGTTCAGCAGTGGATTTGTGAAGGGCTGTAATGATTATGATAGTTGTGGGTCACAATTATTGTAAATTTTGCAATTGTGTTTTCCATATTATGTTATACTAGTTATGTGTTAATTTGGCTCTGTTATATTATGTTAATTATTATTTTTTCTTTAATTGGTTTCAATATATATTAGTGACTAGTGATCCACTCCAGCTTCGCATGGGTAATTTCTGTATCTCGATAACAGCTCCAACTAATGGATCCAATTGTAAATCTAAACCATCCATGGTTTTTCTAAACATAAACAATTTCATCGGAATCGACTCAGTTTTGCCTTTTAGCAAGAGGACAGCAATTGATTTTTATATATAGAGATAATTATTTTATATTTACAGCCAAAAATAAAAAGAGAACCGTGGATGAGCTCAGTGGTGATGAGGATCATAATGATTCAAAGTCATTAGTAAACGATACATCTAGCAAACAAACCAAGGGAAAAAGTAAAAAGGGTTAGTAAAACTTTTTAATTTACTTATTTACAATATATGCAGAAGATTACTATAATATATTAAAATACCTGTAACACTATAACATAAACAAAAATTAGTAGAATTGGTGTCTTAAAATATAAGACATAAATATTTGAGTCTCACAGTCTGTAATATTTTCAAATAATAATAGAGAAACTAACTTATTTGAAAGGTCAATAAAAACAAAAGTACTTCAGTTATTGTTTTAATTGTTTTTTAATTTAAGAATACAATATCCCAAGTTTTTTTTCATACAGTGTTAAAAATGACATCGGTTAAATGGTGACCCCCATTGTGCATACACTGATTGAGTCAATTTCTAAAGTTCGTCTCCACTCTTCGCAGCATATCAATTGGTATGTTGGCAATGGCGTCACCAATGTTGTTATTGAGGTGAGCTATGGTCCATGGTCGATCGACATAAACCAGGGATTTCAAATAACCCCATAAATAAAAATCACATGGAGCCAAATCTGGAGAGCGTGCCGGCCATGGGAGATCACCTTTGAGAGAGATGAGGTGGTTGGGGAAATGTTGTCGCAACAAATCCATTGGGGCTCGTGCTGTGTGTGCTGTGGTTCCATCTTGCTAAAACCACACGTTCCTAACATTCATTTCTTCGAGGCTTGGAAGAAAAAATTCCTCGATCATGTTCCTGTAACAAGCTGCATTTATGGTAACTGCATGTTCATTTTCTTCAAAAAAACTAAAGACCAATTATTCCCATTACCGATGTCGCACACCAGACAGTAACTCGTTCACAATGAAGTGGCTTCTGGTGAAGTTCACACGGATTTCCACCACTCCCATAACGCATGTTTTGTTTGTTGACACAGCCGGTTGAAAAAACGACCGTCTCTTGAGACACATTGTCAAGCAGCACTTCACATGCATTTTAACGGGCAACAACATCGCGTTTAGTTAATTCTTGCACAACAGACAATTTATAGGGATGAAATTGAAGGTCTTCATGGAGAATTCGTGCGAACAGTGGTGTCAGAAATTCCCAGAGCAGCTGCATGTTTGCGAGCCAACACCGGGAAGAACGCAGAATTGACTGTTTCACTCTTGATATTTTCCGGAGTTCTGATGGTCCATTGTTGTCCATTACTGAGTTTGGCTACACTTCCACACTCCTGAAATGAGTGAACCCACGACAGAATCGAATTACGGCCAGGAACGAGTCTATGAGGAGGAATTTCAAAAGGAGTGCGAAAGGCACGTTGCGTAGCAACAAGTGAGCGACTGTTAGAAAAGAAGCTCTCGACGGCGAACGCCCGCTGCTCTCTAGACAAGAGCATGATGGCAACTGACTAGAGGGGGAAACAAATTTGGGGACTTCCCACTCCAGATGCACCACCTCTCTCCCCTCTACCCTCTCAAATCACCACTCGGGAATTTTTTCAAATAAGTAAGTTTCTCAGGCGTACCCTATATAATTGCAAAAAATTTATAGTGACAAGTGAATCCAGACAAACTGAAACAGGAGATGGGCAGCAATATCTTCCTGATAACAACTCAAAACAATAATAAATGGAGTGCCAACTGCCAACCCTGTCTGCCAAAGATGGCAACTTTGGCTGATATGTTTCCTATGAGTCTATCTATTGGGAAAGCCTATGTTAAGCAGTGGATGTTTGATAGGCTGTAATTAATGAATGAATAAATGTGGTGGTGACCCAAAGGAATCCATACCCCCAACCCATTTTGCCCCTTGGGTGATTATGGAATCAGGAAAATACCATAATCATGTCAATTAAAATCATGATTCCAATCGAATGTGGTATATTTTGATTATGCCAGGTATTAAGATTAAGAGTGGCAAAAGGGTTATCAGTTTATTTATGAATTGTTGATGAAGGAGAAATGTTTTTGCATAGTAAGTGGCACGCGCCATGAGCCCTGATATTTGCATGCTCTAACATGTGCAGTAACCATTTGTAGGTCTGCTGATATATTTTAAATGGGGTGTGATTCAAATCTTATTGCCTGATAGGTTCAGTGTTTGTTCATTTATTAGTCGAAAGGCAAGCACTATAAGTAAAGTACACAATCAGGTAAAATATAAACTACAAAAACCAAAATTGCCTGATGCTCAAAACATTCAACTCCTATAAAATTCCTTGATTTTTGAATTTGTTTCATTTAACTTTATTGTTTTATTAAAGGTAAAGGAAAAAAGAATGATGATTGGTCAGATAATGCTAGTGATGTGGAGCTTAAAGAAGTATCAGAGGAAGAAGTTGCAAAGCCTGTTACTAAAAAGAAATGTAAGTGATGCTATAATGTTCTTAACTATATATATATATATATATTTTATCATATGTATCTTTGTGGCGCTTGTGAGCTCGTCTTTATGATTTATGTCCTTATAAAGATGTGATAACTGTCATGAGCTATAGAGACGCACGGCGCAATTTAGTGTCGTTGCCTTCTCAGCTAGTTGTTGAATGTTGATTACGATTGGTATTGATTTATATTAAAGTATAAAAAATAATTTTTCCGTTAAGGAGCTTTGTAACACAAGGATTGTTATGATATTTGATGATGTTGTTAATATGTAATGATATTGATGACATTAAATTGAAAATGTAATATCGGTTGAATAACTACCTCCTGAGTTGATGCACATTTGTGCTTGTTTTATGTCAATAATTCATTGCTCGCAAAACATCTGGCACCAAATTGTTGATTTTTTCTCCAATGTTAGCTTTCAAGACTTGCAAAGCTTTGGTTTCTTGCAGTAAATGTGAGATTTCAAAAACCTTAAAGAAGGGAAGTCTGGCACCGACACATATATATATTACTTATACATACATTTATGGTGTAGTGGTCATAAACACAGTTGATTATGAGGTCTTGGGTTCGAATCCTGGATAGGGCAAAAAAAACAAAACAGTTATTGAGTTCTTCTGTCAAGAAATTCTCAGTAGCAGCCCGGAGTCAGTTGGTCTTACTCCTGATCTCCCTCTGGTCCTGTTGACGGAAATTCGGTCTGTAGGACAATATTTATATCGGACTTTATTGATGGTACAGAGTTTCCTCTTTTACAACGCGGAGTCGGGATAATTTCTGGAGCAAATGCCAAGTGTCACTAGACAAACAGTTGGTAAAATCAGTAAATGATTTTATTGGTAGTATACCTTCATTGCTTGCAGTTCTTGTCAGTACACCACTGCAGTGGATTTAAAAAGAAAAAGAAAAAAAAGTCTCAGAAAATTAAGTTGTTTTCTGTAATTCAATATGTAGGTAATTTCATACTACATTCATTTGCTGTTACATCATATTATGAATATTATTGTGTGTCTTTCTTTATATGGTTAATAAAAATACTACTATTAGTATCATTATTATAATTTTTTTATTAATTTATAAAAATTGCAGCCAAAAATAAAAAGCAGGCAGCAGCTGTACAATCTTCAGATGAAGAAGACCATGATGATTCAAAGTCAGTACCCAGCAACGTTACAGAATCCACTGATAAGTCAAAGAGCAAGAAAGGTTTGTTTCAATTAAAGGTAGACAATAAAAGTAATAGATTTTTTTATAGAATAAAGGTAACAAACGAGCACACAGTCCACCTGATGATAAGTCAATGCATGTGAACAAAGATGGGATGCTTCCATCCAGTAAAAAGGGTTATTTGTTTATTATTTGGGTTAATGTTTACCAAGCTGCCAACCATAACATAGATAGATAGATGGAAAATTATTTATTGCACTAAAACAAAAAGAATTTTGTACAAACATGAACTTAATGCTGAAAAGGCATTCTCTGCCAGCTAACCTTTTGTAGTGTGGTGAGGGCTATGGGTAGAGCGGTAAGAGAAAAAATCTAACTGATTTACATATACTACTCAAAAGATGTTATATAATATAAATATAACAATTTTAGCTCGGAAGAGCATATATCGATTTTTATGATGATAATGGAAGAGTAAAAATATGTATTATGATATCCTTTTAAAGTAAAATATATACATATGTCTATTTGGCTATACAATAGCGGCAGAAGAGAAATATTTGCAGTACTCTCTATTGAGTTACCATAGTAAAATTGAAAAAATTGAAAAATCTTTATTGCAACATAAAACGAATTTAAATACATATCAATGTGATCCTAGTCTCCTGTAAAAGGTTAACCTGAGTAATAGGAGCTAGTTCCTTCCTAAATTTAACAAGCTTTATGTTGAATAAAAACGCTCAAAAAAAATATACTCAAAAATGCATAGTTATATAGATGCTACGCTGTTACTAAACTGTACGTACGTGCGAGCGTTGTGTGTGTGTGTGTGTGTGTGTGTGTGTGTGTGTGTGTGTGTGTGTGTGTGTGTGTGTGTGTGTGTGTGTGTGTGTGTGTGTGTGCGTGTGTGTGTGTGTGTGCGTGTGCGTGTGCGTGTGTGTGTGCGTGTGCGTGTGTGTGTGTGTGTGCGTGTGCGTGTGTGTGTGTGTGTTCGTGTGCGTGTGCGTGTGCGTGTGTGTGTGTGTGCGTGTGTGTGTGTGTGTGTGTGTGTGTGCGTATGCGTGTGTGTGTGTGTGTGTGTGTGTGTGTGCGTATGCGTGTGCGCGTGCGTGTGTGTGTGTGTGCGCGCGCGCGCCCGTACATAAGTATAATATGATATATAGAGTGTACGTGTGGTGAGTGTGTTTTTACTATTTTACTGTGAAGATTTTATATTTTGAAATGTGAAATGATTATTAATGATTTATACGTGTAATAACAAATAATATGAGAACAATAAAAAATTACAATTACCTTTACATATTAGAGGAATTACACGAAACGAAGAGATTCGCAATATGGCAGAATTGAAAGATGACCTTATCACAAAAATTGATAAGGGCATACTCCAATGGTTTGGGCACGTTAAACGAATGAGTGAAGACCGGATGGTGAAAAAAATATATAGAGCGAAAGTAAATATTAAAAGGTGTCGAGGTAGACCGACACTAACTTTCGAAGACTATGTGAGCAAATTGCTCGAAGAGGGGAGGGTCAAGAGTACTCGGATACCTAGATGTGCATGTATGAAGAAGTTAATGAACCTGAAAGAAGCGAAAGAGGCCTATGTTAAGCAGTGGATGTTTGATAGGCTGTAATTAATGAATGAATAAATGTGGTGGTGACCCAAAGGAATCCATACCCCCAACCCTTTTGCCCCTTGGGTGATTATGGAATCAGGCAAATACCATAATCATGTCAATTAAAATCATGATTCCAATCGAATGTGGTATATTTTGATTATGCCAGGTATTAAGATTAAGAGTGGCAAAAGGGTTATCAGTTTATTAATGAGTTGTTGATGAAGGAGAAATGTTTTTGCATAGTAAGTGGCACGCACCATGAGCCCTGATATTTGCATGCTCTAACATGTGCAGTAACCATTTGTAGGTCTGCTGATATATTTTAAATGGGGTGTGATTCAAACACTGACCTCTACATATACAAATACGCTGGACTGGCTATACACCGTGACATGATGAAGCGATTTGATTTCCGCCATTTTGGCGCTGACAGCAGAAGTGCACGTCCACGGAACTAATACTAGGGATAAGACAGTGTACCAAATTATATCGATAAAAATTCTATACCCTACCTATACTTAAATAAATAGAACGGACTCTATGGATAGATGGACTCTACCCGTAACGTCTATTCTATTTATGTATCATATTAATATAATGCCATCATTCATCATCATTGAAACACTTCACAAATCCACTGCTGAACATAGGCCTCCCCCAAGGAATGCCACAAAACACGGTCCTGAGCTACCTGCATCCATCAACTTCCTGCATGTCTTACCAGGTTTTGACTCCATCTAGTGGGGGAACGTCCTACCCTTCACCTGCCAGTACGAGGCTGCCACTCGAGAACGTTTTCTCCCCATCGGTATTCGGTTCTACGAGCTATATGGCCGGTCAATTGCCACTTCAGCTTACTAATCCATTGGGCGATATCGGTCACTTTGGTTCTGCTGCAGATATCCTCATTCCTAAGTTTGAACCCCTGAGCATAGCTCTCTTTATAGCTCGTTGAGTGACTTCGAGCTTCCTCACACGGCAGCAGTGAAAGGCCTCGTCTCAGGTCCATATATCATCACTGGCAACACGCATTGTTTGTACGATCTAGTTTCGAGGTATTTCTGACGAGAAGATGTGTTGTAATCTCCCGAACGCTGCCCAGCCGAGTTGAATCCGTCGATTGACCTCTCGGTCGAAGTTGGACTTACCTAGTCGGACTATTTGTCATCTCATCAACAACTTCAGCTAAGTGCTCCCAAAAATCACCGGCATAGGTGTGACATGGACATTACACATGACTTTTGTTTTGTCCATGTTCATCTTAAGACCTATCCGTTGGGAGACACTATTGAGGTCATCGAACATAGTGCGTAGGTCCTCCAGCGATTGTACCATAAGGACTATATTGTCGGCAAATCGAAGGTGAGTGACGTACACGACATTGATGTAAATACCGTATATTTTACAGTCCAGTAGGTTGATAACCTTTTTCCAATGCAGCGGTAAAGTGTTTCGGGGATACTACGTCACCCTGCCTTACACATCTCTACAGTTGGATTACATTTGTACTCTGGTTCTGTACTCAAATAGCCATTATAGCCCCTAACCATTCAACTAAAAAATTATTAAGATTAAACTAAGTACACAAAATAAAAATAAAAACAATTTCTAGAATAAATTATTGTCAACCGTTTATTTAGTGTAGTTTTAGTATTATAAAAAACAAATCAACTGCTATAATAACGCCTAGTCTAATCAACTACAGGTGTGTTTATAGACAGTAAAATATTTTCTACTATATAAAAATTTATGTTTGTTCGTACTTTCTACGATGCCATACCGTTCATCAGATTGCGTTAAAACTTAGTCAACTTATTGGTTGGTGGTTGTACTTGTGCGAAGGTTATACGCATGGTACAATTAACTGACACTAGGTGGCGTACGTATTATACTGACTATTTATTTGAAAGTTATAGAAAGTTATATATCATTCTATTTCAATGATTGTATTATCATTCCTAATTATACAATATAACTGTTCCACATTTTTAACGATATTTCCACAAGTACTTCTTCTGCGGCAGCAATGCGCAAGCCAGCAAGATAATATAAAAAAAATATAAACTTTGAATTACATAGTTATCAGTTATTTACAACGTAATTTTCGAAATTAAAATTACAATATTAAAAAAAATAACTGAAATTATCAATCGAAAGACAGTCGAGTGGCGCATCGCCAATCGTCATACTCATCAGCGGTACAGGGAGAAGAATCTCCTCTAGCCGCAGCCCACTAACACACATCCAACGTGGCTCGACATCGTCAGGCGACCTTTCGACACTTGGTTATGGCCCTTGAATTTGGTGGAAAATGAGGAAAGAAGAAATAAAAAAACATTCGAAACAATAATCTAATACTTAGTACTTGGTAGTTGGTAGTGCTTGATACTGGTACTACCAGAAAATATTGTCGGTATACCGCACTTTTTCAAAGTGGTGCAGTTCTCATGTCTAATAAAACAGTCGTCTGTGAAATGTTTGGAACAAATATGATCATTTTGTTTCAGACGCCAATTCAAAATATTTATGATTTTAAGCCATAATTTTAGTCTAGGTTCAGTTAGAAATCTGTTAATAAACATTTGATAATCATCTGTTGTTGGTGACTTTGTTTGTTAACAGATATGGGTAGGAAAGAACATCGATAAGTATTATAGACAAGGAACTCGACAACCCTATTGAATTTTACTGTTTATCAAAACTCAGTAATATACAGCCAAACATGTTGGTATATAAGATATTAAGATTAGTAACAAATTTCTAAGCACTTATATTATCAAATAGTTTTAATTTGTTTAATATTTATTGCAAATTCACTTACTTGTGAAATGTTATACCACTTCCCTTTTGGTAACGAGTTTTACAGATTACGCACCCTCTCATTATTAATAAAAATAATTCTTATTATGTAACTATTATACACAACGAAACAATATAAAATACTTTCGTTTTTTTTTTTAGTTTAAAAGTTCAAAATACAGACTTATTAAATATGACAATATGAATAAGACAACATACTTTGGCATATTACGTCAATTTTATTTTTCAAGACATCCTTTAGCGGCGCTTCAAATTGGCACAGTCATTTTGTATGGTATAGCCAGTCCAGCGTACTTGTATATATAGAGGTCAGTGGATTCAAATCTTATTGCCTGATAGGTTCAGTGTTTGTTCATTTATTAGTCGAAAGGCAAGCACTATAAGTAAAGTACACAATCAGGTAAAATATAAACTACTAAAACCAAAATTGCCTGATGCTCAGAACTCATTCCAACTCCTATAAAATTCCTTGATTTCTTTGAATTTGTTTCATTTAACTTTATTGTTTTATTAAAGGTAAAGGAAAAAAGAATGATGATTGGTCAGATAATGCTAGTGATGTGGAGCTTAAAGAAGTATCAGAGGAAGAAGTTGCAAAGCCTGTTACTAAAAAGAAATGTAAGTGATGCTTTAATGTTCTTAACTTTATAACTATATATATATTACTTATACATACATTTATGGTTTAGTGGTCATAAACACAGTTGATTATGAGGTCTTGGGTTCGAATCCTGGATAGGGCAAAAAAAACAAAACAGTTATTGAGTTCTTCTGTCAAGAAATTCTCAGTAGCAGCCGGGAGTCAGTTGGTCTTACTCCTGATCTCCCTCTGGTCCTGTTGACGGAAATTCGGTCTGTAGGACAATATTTATATCGGACTTTATTGATGATACAGAGTTTCCTCTTTTACAACGCGGAGTCGGGATAATTTCTGGAGCAAATGCCAAGTGTCACTAGACAAATAGTTGGTAAAATCAGTAAATGATTTTATTGGTAGTATACCTTCATTGCTTGCAGTTCTTGTCAGTACACCACTGCAGTGGATTTAAAAAGAAAAAGAAAAAAAATGTCTCAGAAAATTAAGTTGTTTTCTGTAATTCACAATATGTAGGTAATTTCATACTACATTCATTTGCTGTTACATCATATTATGAATATTATTGTGTATCTTTCTTTATATGGTTAATAAAAATACTACTATTAGTATCATTATTATAATTTTTTATTAATTTATAAAAATTGCAGCCAAAAATAAAAAGCAGGCAGCAGTTGTACAATCGTCAGATGAAGAAGACCATGATGATTCAAAATCAGTACCCAGCAACGTTACAGAATCCACTGATAAGTCAAAGAGCAAGAAAGGTTTGTTTCAATTAAAGGTAGACAATAAAAGTAATAGATTTTTTTATAGAATAAAGGTAACAAACGAGCACACAGTCCACCTGATGATAAGTCAATGCATGTGAACAAAGATGGGATGCTTCAATCCAGTAAAAAGGGTTATTTGTTTATTATTTGGGTTAATGTTTACTAAGCTGCCAACCATAACATAGATAGATAGATGGAAAATTATTTATTGTACTAAAACAAAAAGAATTTTGTACAAACATGAACTTAATGCTGAAAAGGCATTCTCTGCCAGCTAACCTTTTGTAGTGTGGTGAGGGCTATGGGTAGAGCGGTAAGAGAGAAAATCTAACTGATTTACATATACTACTCAAAAGATGTTATATAATATAAATGGCACGGAAGAGCATATATCGATTTTTATGATGATAATGGAAGAGTAAAAATATGTATTATGATATCCTTTTAAAGTAAAATATATACATATGTCTATTTGGCTATACAATAGCGGCAGAAGAGAATTCAGTACTCTCTATTGTTACCATAGAAAATTGAAAAAATTGAAAATTGAAAAATCTTTATTGCAACAAAAACGAATTTATACATATCAATGTGATCCTAGCTACTGTAAAAGGTTAACCTGAGTAACGGGAGCTAGTTCCTTCCTAAATTTAACAAGCTTTTGTAAATAATTTTGAATTTTTTGAATAAAAACACAAAAAAATATACAAAAAATTTATATAGATCTACGTGTTACTAAACCTACGTACGTGCGCGCGCTGTGTGTGTGTGTGTGTGTGTGTGTGTGTGTGTGCGTGTGTGCGTGTGCGTGTGCGTGTGCGTGCGCGTGCGCGTGCGCGTGCACGTGCGCGTGCGCGTGCGCGTGCGTGTGTGTGTGTGTGTGTGTGTGGCGCGTGTGTGTGCGCGCGCGCCCGTACATGAGTGTACGTGTGGTGAGAGTGTGTTTTTACTATTTTACTGTGAATATTTTATATTTTGTAATTTGTATGATTGCCTGCATTATTAATGATTTATACGTATAATAACAAATAATATGAGAACAATAAAAAATTACAATTACATTTACATATTAGAGGAATTACAATACATAATAGAATACTATATAATACATACATAATAGAACGGGGGTGTGGGCGGAGCCCATGTTGCCACTAAAATGCCACTAACACGTCAATTTACACATATAAATGTCAACACGACATGTGTTTTGACGTTACAACCGTTTCCAAATTTCGCATGCAAATTATTTAGAAAATGCCAAATTGCACGCTATTTACAAACAAATATGTATTAAAATCCGTCTGTCATACGACGTAATTGCTTGTATGTGTGCTCCCAGCGACGCAATTCCTCGTACAAAATAAGGTTGACAGCGATTCTATTGTGTATTATAGTATTCTATGAATGTTCCATTGGTGTTGTGAGAGGCGATAGAGGAAAACGGAAGTAGAAGATGGGCAGAAGTATCTTCCTGATAATAGCAATAATGAAAAGAACCTCAATGGCTAAACCGCTTTCTAAATGTGGCAAATATCCAGCATATGAGTGGGCGAGATCTATGTTTGCAGTAAAGCTTTGACAAGTTGTATTAAATAAATGAATTAAATGTACTTATTACAAAGATTCGTGACATTCAAACTTGTAATGATACATATCACTCCGACTGTTTTGTGTTGGACAATAGCCTGTCTCATAAATATCTTGCATCTAATATTTTAATACAATATGAATTTATATTATATTTATTTTTTAGAAAAAGGTAAAGCAGATGATCGGCCTGATGCTGACAGTGATAATGATTATAAGATGGAACTTTCTGAATATGAAGAGATCATACCTGTAGCTAAGAGTAAAGGTAAGGATATATTTAATGTGTTAAAATTAAACAATAATTAATAATTATAAAAATACTAGCGATCCGCCCCGGCTTTGCACAAGGGATTTCTGAATCTTGACAACAGCGCCACCTATGGGTCCAAATGTCTATAAACTAAACCACCTACTCAAACACAAAAAATTTCATCAAAATTGGTCGAGCTGTTTTTTTTTAGTTTAGTTTTAGCGAGACTAACAGACTGCAAGAAAAAGAGTAATTGTCTCTGTGCATTAGTAAGCTGAAGTATTGATTGGTCGGTCATATAGCTTTGAAACTGACACTGAAAAGGAAGCAAGGTTCGGGGGTCCTCTTGGTTCGGCCGCGAAGGACCAATTGAAAAGGACCAACAGGGATTAAACGTTCGATTAAGAAACAGAAGGGAGGAATCGAGGCTTCTCTCGATCCGGCCTCCTATAACGCCTACCTTGGGTTCGGGAACAACGTATGTGATCTCCGCAACGTAGTAACACACAAGGGCGATAACCTCTTCCTTTTCAGCGAGTAGGTTCAGACGGGGATTACGGGTCTTCCGAAGTCGTCCCGGTCCCAACGCCTTAATTCTTCGATGTGGACTGTATAATCTTGAGGGATGAATTACTTGGGAATAAAACAGCATCATGCAACATCAAACAGCACATGTTTTCCACTTGAAATTATACATATGTTTCTCTATTTATTTCACTATTAAAACACTTTTAAATTTCTTATACAAAACTATCATTATTTCACTTATACACAGGAATTTTTACATAAAAATAACACAGAATTCACCTTTTTAGCACGTACAATCAACCTGAAATGTTTCACAAGTCATTTTTACATAAATTGCTGAAATTACAAATATTTAAATTTTTACATATTTGGCCTCCTAAGTACGTGGCTAGCGTGCGTCTATGAACTCACACTATTTGAACAATTAACTTTTGCACGGCTCTCGGCTATCAGAAAAAATGAAAGTCTGATATACACCAATTTTAACAATATTGGGTTAATAAATGCTTCTACACAATTTTCAAACTGTAGGAAACTATTTCTAATCAGATTCTTATCAGTTATCATGTTTCTTATCAGATAACAATATAAGTGAATGTTCTCATAAATCAATCATGGCAAATAGGCATTTGTTTTCGTACAAAACATATCAAACTTATATAAGACAATACTTATGCGATTAATTTCCGTTAATTCTATTTATGCACAGAGTGATCATCTCGACCGGGGAACAAATCCGATTTCTAACTTCACTTTAATATTCCTTTGAATTTACATCATTGGAAAGATGATTTCAACCGGGGAAACAATCCGGTAACATAATTTATATCGTAAATTCCTTACGAATTTATTAAGCGATATTACTTAGGAAAACAAATAAACTAGTCCGGCCTGGGAGTCGAACCCAAGACCTTCATATCATTAATTCGGTATTTCTTTAAGATTTAACTAAGCATTTTCTTATCAGAACATTGCTATTGGACAATTTGCCTTTTAGAAGCTATTCGTCATCGGTTGACTTAATAAATTGAAATATTCTTATAGGCGCGTCGCCAACAATCTCCCCTCCGTGCGTAAGCACCATTATTTGGGAGGCGTCGCGGGTACCAGGACTATTATTCTGGATGTAGGTCTCCTCAAGATACCTGTGCTAGTAATGACGTCAACCACTCTGGTGTGACCGTCTGGTCCCGGTAGCGTTCTACTAATTTTGCCTTTCGGCCACGTATTTCGTGGCAACGAATGATCTATTATCAAAACAATATCACCTTCTTTAGGTTCCATGAATTTTCCGTTATTACCTGTTCGAGGTATTAAAGTAGGCATGTATTCTTTCAACCATCTTGTCCAAAAATAGTCGGCTAACCTCTGTGCAGCTTTCCAATTGAGTTGACCCGTCAGATGTTGCTCTAAAAATAATCCAGGTGGTCGATCACCACATGAGCGTCCCAGAAGAAAATGATTGGGTGTCAAACCCTCTTCAGGACTATCCATACTGAATGTTACCAGAGGCCTGGAATTTACCGTATGCTCTGCTTCTAAAAGCAGCGTATGCAGAACCTCCTCCCGTGGGCTCCTTTCTTTGAGCGTAGCGGTCAACGCAATTTTAACCGATCTTACTAACCTTTCCCAGGCGCCACCCATATGCGGTGCTCCCGGAGGTATAAATTTCCATTTAATATATTTCTTAAATGACTCATTTTTCATGCCCTCATAGCATTCTTCGCATGCTTTCAATAATTCTTTATTCGCAGCTTTGAAATTCGTCCCGTTATCGCTGTATATAACGGCTGGTTTTCCTCTTCTGGCGATAAATCGCCTCAATGCCATTATCATTGACGCTGGTGTCAATGAGGCTGCTAATTCCAGATGTACTGCTCTGGTGGTCAGACACGTGAATAAAACACCCCAACGTTTTTCGTGTCGCCTTCCTATAGTCACACTCATAGGTCCGAAATAATCCACAGCTGAGCATGTAAAAGGTGGTTCATGATGAGCTATTCTCTCCAGAGGAATATTTCCTTGTGGCACGTTCTGCGGTTTTGACCTGTATGTCCTGCACCACTGACAGTGATGTGACACACTTCGTACTACATTACGCAAGTTCAAGACATAAAATTTCTGGTTCACCTCATTCATCACCGTCTGGTGATTGGCATGTCCAAAATGATGGTGAACTTCTCTAATCATCATTTTAACGATTTCATGTTTACCGTCTAAAACGACAGGTTTTCTACTTTCCTCGGTCAAATTAGACTTAAAAGGTAAACGTCCATTTAAACGGAGTAAGTTATCTTCTCCTATTTCCATAGATAATTTACTTAAGCGTGAACTTCTTTCAACGCTTTTGCCTGCTTTCAAGCATTTTATTTCCGAATGAAAACACTCGTCTTGAACGAATTTCCAAATTAACAATTCCGCTTTTCTCAAGAGCGCTATGTCCAACGCGCCATCGGGTCCTTTAACCGACTTTGCTAAAACTTTGTTGGAACACAACCGACTTTTCGGCTGCGCTGTCGGGTCCTTTAACCGACTTTTTTAAACTCTTGAATTTTTCTACCGCTTGTAAGGTGCGTGTAGTTGCCCCAAGGAATTTCTTAAAGCTGCTAAATCGTCCGTAGTCGGGTAGATTTAACGGTTCTTGCTTTCTCAGCGCATTTACGCCTTTTGAGCGATTTTTCTTCACCTGTTTCTAAGCTATTTATGGTGTCCACTTGTTTGGGCCATAAATCAGGACTTTTCCTGAGGAATTCAGGTCCTTGAAACCAGCGATGACTTACATTGAAGGTGGAATGAAAACTTCTTGTGGCGTCGTCTGCCACGTTCTGTGACGTCGTTCTATACTCTTCCGGCGGCGCGTCACGATTGTGCCGCCATAAGAATCGAAGGCTATCCCTGTCTTCTTCCCGGATTTTCACTTGCAGGAACATTTCTTTAATGTCTGCCATCACTGCCACGCTTCCTTCTCTGAATCGTAGCAGAACTCCAAACAGCGACTTCAATAAGTCCGGTCCGGTTAACAATGCATCATTCAGACAACGTCCGCCCGTCCTTGCGGCGGCGTCGAAAACTATCCTTATTTTCTTTTTTTTGTGGATGAGTCACTGCGAAGTGAGGAAGGTACCACGTGCGTGGGGAAATGGAAATATGGTTCGCTTTCTCTGCGTAACTGTTAACGATGAGATTTTCAATTTGCTTCTCATATTCCTTTTTCAACTCGCTATTTTTGTCGAGCTTCTTTTCGATATTAAGCAGGCGACTTTTAACCTGCGCTCTATTCGACGGCATGCACTCATTGTCTGTGCGCCATAACAAAGCAGTCTCGTACCTATTATTAGGTATACGACGTACCGTTTTGCTCAAAATATTTAAAGCTCGTTCTTCTGGGTCGTTCGCGGGCTTTCGCGCAGACACTCCCAGAGATTCCAAACTAAAATAATCCTTGATTAACTTATCCATATCTTCCTCCTTCTTGGTGGAAATGTGGTTAACAATCTTGATTGGTTTAATACCACCCGATATGTGACCGTGTAAAACCCATCCAAGTTTGGTGAGCGATGCTACAGGTAGGTTCTTACCTCCTGAAATTAATTCACGAGTAACTATGAGATGCCAATTGTCCTGGCCAATTAATATGGTAGGTCTGGACCTCTCATACATCAACTCGTCCTTAATCGGTGTCAAATGAGAACACCGTTGCAATAATTCTCGGCTTACTGACTGAGGAGAAAGGTTAAGTGACTTAATTGTTTGTACACTTATCTCTTCTAAGTCATTCGAGTAAATGCCTTTTATCTTAACGTTTAAGCGATACGAACTGTCGTCGTTAATTCGCTTACCTCCCACGGCTTCGATACGTAATTCCTCTTTACGTCCGCGAGGCGCTAACTTCTGAGCCATCCACTCCTCTATGAGTGTCATGGTCGATCCCTCATCCAGAAGAGCTGTTGTCTTGACCTTTCCTCTAGGTCCATACAACTCGACCGGTATAATCTTTAAGTATGCACATGCCAGTGCATTCACTGTATTAACGGTTGTAATCTGAGCCTCTTTACCCCCCCTCGTCCCCTTGCGGCGAGATATTTTCATTGGGGTATCGGTGTAGCATCCGATGATGTGACATTCTACATCCCTCTACACCACATTTTTTCGCTTTGCACTCTAACCTCCTATGGTTAGGTGACAAACATTGGAAACATACTTTCGCTTTTTTGACTGCGTCCCATTTCTCGCGAATATTCATGTCCTTAAACTTGTAACAACTCACTATAGAGTGCTCCTTGTTGCATATAACACACTTATGTGTTACCCGACTTACAGGCTTGTCCTGGGTTGTCATAACCACTTGTCGGTTGTGCCCTTTATTATTTCGGCGTTCTAGACGCTCGCTCGTATTACTTCGGCGCATATAGCGCTCGCTCTTGGCACAGCTGCGTACACATCCCTTTGCAGTGTGTACAGTTTGCTTCCTGAATTCAGGACGCTTC